AGGAGATCCTCCCTCACACAGGAATCTACCCCCAAGTGGCAGGGAGATCATCATGCAGGCATCCTCCCCCGAGTGGGAGGGAGGAGATCCTCCCTCACACAGGAATCTACCCCCAAGTGGCAGGGAGATCATCATGCAGGCATCCTCCCCCGAGTGGGAGGGAGGAGATCCTCCCACATGCAGGAATCTACCCCCCCCCCAAGTGGGACAAAGGAGATCGTCACGCAGGAATCCACCCCCCAAGTGGCAGGGAGGAGATACTCACTCACCCAGGGATCCACAAACACCACCCCATGGGTGGGAGGGAGAGACCGTCTCTCATCCAGGAATCCACCCCCGAGTGGGACGGAGATCCCCCCTCACCCAGGGATCCACAACCCCTCCCCCATCAGTGGGAGGGAGAGACGCTGCCTCCACCAGGGATCCAGCCCCAGGTTTGAGGGAGGGAGACATCTTCCCTCACCCAAGAATCCACCCACCTCCATTGGTGGGTGGGAGGGAGCCTCCCTCGCCCAGGGATCTACTCCGCCCCCCCCCACGGAGGGATCCTTCAGGTAACACAAAGGAGAACCCTAGGGCTGGAGAATTCTGGGAGTTGAAGTCCAGCTGTCTTAAAATATCCCTACTTTGAATAGAAAAAACAATCCAACCAATCGCTTTCCTCAGAGCTTTTATTGATCGGTTTTTTGCACAACGCATGAATCCGACAGGGAAATGGCGTTCAGCATGAGGTAGCGACACTAAGCAACTATCTTAAGCCTCTTGTGCGATTCAGACTATCTCATCAAGCCACAACGTATTGTAGATTTGACTGCTACACATCGCTCCGTTCCCCTTTCCCCTCCGCTTATGTCCCATCTTGGTCACTTTAAGACTTGTGGACTTCAACTCCCAGAATTCCCCGGCCGGCATTGCTTCCTGCTGCTGTTGACTCCGCCCCAACTTTGGAGCCACCCCTCCCTCGGGAAATCCTCAGAATTCTGGGACTTGAGGTCCACAGCTCTTAAAACAGCCAAGGCTTGACCCCCTCCGGCCTACATCCAATCTAAATGCAAAACTCTCCCAAATATCGTCCTCTTCCTCTGTCCAATTTAACCACATTGAGGTTGCAAAAGATTTCTTTTTTGTGTATTGGGAACATTTCTGAGAAATTTTAGGATTCCACCCAAAAGCAGGTGAGGGCGACAAGCCTGACCCACCATCTCTCCCTTCCACCCACAGGGGCATTGGGGTGTCAGCTGCCCTGCACCAGACTCTGCAAATAGTGATTAAGCGAGGGAAGCAGCTTCCAGTTGTCGGTGCGGATGCTCACCCGGGCCGCATCATCTACACTCCGCACTTTCAGCAGGATGTGATCCCGAGGCGGTAAAGTCAGGGCGATCCTATACTCATCTCCTTCCTCAGCTAGGATATACCTGCCAAATTGGTCACACACTAAGCTTTCTAAGCATCGGGGCGGCAGGGGCCAAACGGTGAGGCTCTCGGCGTGCGCGTCTTTGGCGTCGGGCCGCAGGAGCTCCCAGAGCACATCAAAAAGTTGGCTACGTTTCTCCGGAGACCAGGCGGGGACCGGCAGGGGTAGGAAAAGGTCTGGAAAGGCGACGTCCAGGTTTTCGAGCCGACTCCAACGCGTCAACCCGTCTTGCGTCGTATAAAGGGCAGAAACGTTCAGTTGTGTCGGGTACGGGCAATGCGGCCGTAGTGTCAGCCTCACCGTCGGGGACGGGCGATGTGCAGAAAGGCACGGAATGCAGAGCTCAGGCACCGGATCGTAATGCCGGCTGGTGCAGGTGAAGCGAAGCACCACGCAGAGGAGGAGGTCGTAGGGTGGCGTGCCAGGCCCCGCATGGACCAGCTGGTATGTCAAACTGAGCCGTGAGGGAGAGCGGTCGGCCAGCAACCACTGGCAGTAGCTGTCCACCTCCTGCTCAGCCGGAGGAGCTGTCGGGGTATCCCCTGTAATCTCAACACACTGGAGCTTCAAGGGAGCCGGATCCACCGAGTGGACCGTCAATGCGGCGACAAAGCTCTCACTGTCGGCAACAATGGACGAGGATAGCGACCGAGTCTTGACAGGACCTTCGTGGACCAGCACGGATCTTAATTTTTCACTGGACAGGTTGGTGAGTAGGGTGTAATAAAAGCTAGCCCGGTCTTGGACATCCACATCTGTGTGGCTCTGGGAGATGGCATGCAGGAGGGCCGCCAGCTTGGACAGCGCAGGCGAGGGGTGAAGGACCATCAGATTCCGGCAAACGCTGAGAAGGATCTGGCCCGAGCGCCAATCCCCGAGTTTCCCCGAGGCGACCAGACGAGCTAAGAAGTGCATGGTGCTCCCTTGGGGCACTTCTTTCTCCTTCGCCAGCCGGGCCAAAATCTTGAGATGCCAACTTAGGTCTTCCTCTTGCAAGGGGATGCTCACGACAAATTCTTGCAGGGCCCGGGCGAGCGTCCTGGCCCAGCTGGACTCGTCCAGCATCTTCCATGTTTTGTCCAACAGATTGATGATGTTCGGGACTAAGGTGCAGTTGTGACGGTAGAGATCCAGCAGGCACTGCGTGAGTTCCGCCATGGGTTGGGCCTGCGAGCCAAAATATTGGGCAAAAATGAAGGCAGCTTGGAAGAAAAGTCGTGTGGCATCCAATCCTCCGCCTCGGGCCACTAGGCTTCCAAGGGCCAGGACGTGCTCCAGGAGATAACCACCCCCACGTTCGGCACTGGGCCCCTCGTTCTCCACGCACACGAGGCACAGCAAATTCATCCGGGCCAGGACGGTCCCCTGATCTTGGAAGAACCCGGGGAAGAGGCCCGAGGTAGTGCGCGGCGTGAGCAGAACCGGCAGCCGCTCGTCAGTTCCCGAGACCAGCGGCCGGTTTTCGGGGAAGTGCAAAAGACAATCCAAGTGGAAAAGCTTCACGGCCTCCGGGAGAGCCGGGTGCTGCGCCAGTCCCACCAGATGCCGCAAGAGGAAAGACTCGTCCTCAGCGGTGAATAGACTATCGGTGAACAGCGATTTCAGCTGTAGGATGGCGTGTTCCAGAGTCACGCTGGCTGTGCCAAAGAGACGCGCCAGCTGGGCTTTGAAAATTGCCGGGGACTGAGTGCGCACGACGCTCACCGCCTGAGCCAGGTGGCACAAGAGGTGGCTCTGTGCTGCGGAGGTTAAGAGATAGCTGCTCTCCAGAAGCGCCGAGAGCACCAATTTTAGTTCCTTGAGGTCCGCCGCAGATGGTAAGAGCACCAGCTGGTCGAGGGCCGCCGGCGAGAACTTGCCGATTTCCTTCGTAGCCTCCCACACCAGCGCCCCGTTGCTTGCCAGAAGGTCCCCCAGGCACCCTTGTCCATTCCGGGCCAGGAGGAAGATGGCGTTCCGCAGCACCAAGCTGTACAACAGGGTGTAACCCTGGTGGACGCTGGAGGCCTCCTGCTGTTGCAGAGACCGCAGGATCTCCAGTCGGTGTAACAGGAATCCCGAGTAGCAGCTCTCGAGTTCTCGAAGGCACTCGCAAGCCGCCGCGCGGATAGGCCGCTCGGCGACTCCCCCCCGGCTGTCGTTCGGGTCAGACACCAGGTGGAGCAGTACGGACAGCAGTTCGTGTGACGTCGGGCAGTCTTCGCCCAGGCTGTCGGTCGCCACCAGCACCGTTTCTGCGGCGAAGAGCAGGGAGCAACGGAGGCCGACGTGCTTGGGGGAGAGGCTCAGCTGGGCAAAGAGGGAAAGGAGGGAGGCCGCGGCTTCCCGACCCTTCTTGGCATCGGGGCAGAGCAGGGTGGGATATTCCAAGAATAAAGACAGGATCGAAAGCTGCAAGGGAAGAAGTAGAGCTGTTGAGGACGATGGGGAGGAATATCGAGGCAGCCAGAAAATGGTGAGCCTCGATTGCAGTGTTTCTGAACCTTAGTAGCTTTAAGAGGGGTAGACCTCAACTCCCAGAAGTCCCAAGCCAGCCTGCTTTAAGATGGGTGGACTTCCACTCCCAGAATCCCCCAGCCGACATGCTTTAAGATGGGTGGACTTCAACTCCCAGAATNGCTTGAGCAGGGGGATGGACTAGAAGAATGCTGGCTGGGGAATTCTGGGACTTGAAGTCCAGACATCTTCAAGTTGCCAAGGTTGAGAAACACTGATCTATTTAGTAGGTTGTGTGAATGTGGCTAAGGTTGAGAAACACTCATCTATTTAGTAGGTTGTGTGAATACATCAACGGATAAATCCTATCTCATGTTCCGTCTCCCCCTTATTAAAAATGCAATAGGATGGCAAGCGGGGAGAACTTTGAGGGACCCCCCCCCAAAAAAAATGTTTCCAGGACACCAGAGGCCCCAATACTGAAACAATAAGCCAGGATTAAACTTTAAAACCTTCCCTACCAAGGGAAAGCTGCTCCCACCAACCCAGGTTTTCTCCGCCTTGGCAGCTGGAAAGAGGGTGGACTTCAACCCCCAGCATCTGCTGGCTGGAGGATGATGGGAGTTGGAGTCCACCCACCTTCCAAGCTGGAGGAAAAGATAAACGCCGCGCTAAGCAAGGTTGAAGTCAGATTCAGGCGGCGCAACGATGCCAGATTCACGAGGATTGGCTCGCAGCCGTGCCGTCCTCGGCGGGAGAACCATGGGTGTTGTAGTCCCCCCCCCTGAACTGGGGAAGGAGGGGTGGGTGGGTTTGCAACCTCTCCCAAACTGGAGGGCGCCCGGTTGCAGAAGGCTCCCTCCTTCCGGGCACCTTTGCGCGCCCTGCGCTGCGCCCCCTTCCCACGATCGAGGCTCAGGATGGCCGCCTTTGCAGCTGTTGGCGGCCCCGGCCGGAGCTCGCCTGCTGCAGCCCGCCTTGCCTGCCTGCCTACCCTCGGGCGCCTTGGGGTCGCGCCGGACGGCGGGCGCGAAGTAGCGGTCCACGGCGGCGGGTCCGTCGTGCTGGATGGCGCAAGGGAGGAGATGCACGGGGTCCCGAGGCGCCCCCGGCAGGGAAGCCAGCGCCAGCCGCGCTCCGCCCCGCTCTTCCCCCGCCATGGAGAGCCTCGCGCGCCGCCTGCCTTCCCGCGCACGCCGGCCCCGCCCCGCCCCGGGATCCACCCCCGGGAGGGAGGGATCCTCCCTGGCAGAGATCCCACCAGATGGGAGGGAGGGAGAGATCCTTCCTTTACCAGGGATCTACCTCCCATGGGACAAAGGAGATCCTCCCTCACAAAGGAACCCACCCCCAAGTGGGAGGGAGGAGGAGATCCTCCCTCACCCAGGAATCCACCCCATGGGACAAAGGAGATCCTCACAAAGGAATCCACCCCCAAGTGGGAGAGAGGAGATCCTTCCTCACCCAGGAATCCACCCCATGGGACAAAGGAGATCCTCACAAAGGAATCCACCCCCAAGTGGGAGAGAGGAGATCCTTCCTCACCCAGGAATCCACCCCATGGGACAAAGGAGATCCTCACAAAGGAATCCACCCCCAAGTGGGAGAGAGGAGATCCTTCCTCACCCAGGAATCCACCCCATGG